CTGATCTCTCCCTGTCCCTCTTGACTAGTGTCTCTGACTGCCTCTCTGCTGTTTCTAACTGGATGGTTGCCCACTTCCTTAAACTAAACTAAACTGAAATTCTGGTCTTTCCTCCCTCAAGTGTTGTTACTCCTGTGTCTGTCTCCCTCCAAGTCAACGGTGCTACCATCAGCTCCACCACGCAGGCTTGCTGCCTAGGTGTTCTCTTTGACTCCGACCTCTCCTTCAAGCCTCATGTTCAATCTATTGCCAAATCCTGTCATTTCCATCTCAAAAACATTGCGCTCATCCACCCCTACTTAACTCCAGATGCGACTAAGGTGTTGGTCCTTTCCACTGTCCTTTCTCGCCTTGACTACTGTAATCCGTTTCTCAGTGGTCTTACGTGCTCCCAACTAGCGCCGTTACAGTCCATAATGAATGCGGCGGGGAGGCTCATCTTCCTGTCTGCCCGCACCTCCCATGCCTCACCCTTCTGTCAGTCCCTACATTGGCTTCCTATAAAATATAGAGCTCAATTTAAAATTCTGGTTCTTGCTTTCAAATCTCTACATAATTCTGCTCCCACCTATCTATCCTCCCTTATACACAAGTATGTCCCGTCTAGGCCCTTACGATCTGCTGAAGACTTACGTCTATCTTCTGTCCGTACTCCCACCTCTGATGCTCGCCTTCAAGATTTCTCGAGGGCTGCACCGTTCCTGTGGAACTCGCTCCCCTCCTCCATTAGATGCTCACCCAGTCTCCACTCCTCCAAAAAATAGTTAAAAACCCACTTCTTCATAAAAGCGTATCAATTAAACTTTTACTAGCTCCTGACTGATTCCTCTTCTGCAACTGTCATTAGTCTAATACTATCCTTACCTTTTGTGTCACTTTACCCCACTCCCTCTAGCATGTAAGCTCATTGAGCAGGGCCCTCAACTCCTCTGTTCCTGTATGTCCAACTTGTCTGGTTACAACTACATGTCTGTTCGTCCACCCATTGTGAATTTGACGGCGCTCTATAAATATCATAATAATAATATTGATCCTGGCTTGTCTGCAGCACTGGGGGATGGTCCTTGTCGATAGCTGTGCTTCACCTGATCCTGATCAGATATCAGCAGGGTATATAAACTCAGCCTCACCCTGTGATCTGGAGAGTGTGTGTGTGTGTGTGTTTTTTTTTTTTTCATACCAGTGTTCCTGTCTATTGATTCTTATTGACCCCCGGCTCCTGGCATCGTTTACTCTGACCTCTGGCATCCCTTGACACCGGCTATTCCTTGTTGTTCCTGTCCTCTGGCATCCTTTGACCTCGGCTATCCCTTGACTATCCTGCTGTTTTGAGTCCTTGCCTGTGCTGCATTTTGGAACTTCATCCTGTACAGCCCCCGTGCACAGATCCACAGGCCAGGTGAATTCTTACCTGACCACCTTGGCCTGTGGCTATTTGCAAGGGGCAACATATCTGCGCTACAGACTCCCAACTCAGGTAAAACCCGATATATATATATATATTAAAAAAATATTTTTTTTTTTACTGGGACTGCTTTATTATAACTTTTTATACACATGCAGGGAGTAACCATGCAGGCAGATACATGGACACCTTTTGCAACCATGTGACCGCAGGGTCCAAATTCACTGAGGAGAGACTTCATGGGCTGCAGGCAGTCTCTCCACACATCGGGAGCAAGGCTGATTGCCGCCGGGGGAATGACAGCGACCGGGTGAGTAAATATTTCCGTTATGACGGTTCAGGACTGTCACCGGTCCTCAAGGGGATTTTTCTTCCAATGACGGTCCTGAACTGTCACCGGTCGTGAAGGGGTTAAAGTTTGTGGGAATAGACCATATTCCCCCCCCTAGAAGAGGAAGTAATAGGGGCAAAATGTTGCTTAACAAGGAGGTGTTTTGGATACATCAGTTGGATACTGTATCCCCCAGGGGTCTTCATGAGACCCTTACGTATCATTCATTTATCTAGTGCATCCATCTTGTAATGATATGTTTTTATGGTGGGATTATGTGAATCTTTTATGAGGGATTGACAATTATTAATGTATGGATTGGATGTTTATTAGTTAGTATCTTTGTACATATACATTTTATGAGATGGGTTAAGGAATTGTGGTATAATAGTGCATTTTTCCGATGTGTCTTTAGCTATATGGATTTGGCACATTTTTTTTTTTTTTTTTTTGTACATTGGCACAACTGCACTTTATATTTGATGTAGTAAATTACACAATTTTTTTCACACATTAGCACTTTTTATCCAGGGGCACTGTCTTTCCCATGTAGTTATGGGTCTTATCACAGCACTTTAAAATATATACATGTAGTATACTATATCTAATTATGGTTTTAAATAATACCATCCTCCTTTGGCACTAACATTGGTAATGTCCATTCCCTTTTTCCCTTTTGAGACACTGACACTTTATTATATTTAAATTATTGTATATAGTCCATGCTATCTATTTCAGCACTTTACACCAGTTCCATTATATGTAAAAACAGCATGTTTTATTTATTATTAGCCTCCATTCTTTCTTGTCTTTGAGGTGGTCCCTTTCAGACACGGAGGAAGGTTGTTGGGGGATCACGACCCTGGTTTCCGCGATCTCACGCATCACATGATTGGTAGGGGGCGGAGCACACTTGCGGGTGTGTGCGCATACATGAAAGTTCACTCGGAATGCTGGTGGTGGGTGCACAACACCTGAGTGAGTTTTTATCTCTCTCTTTCTCTCTTCCATAGAGTGTGTGTGTGTGTATATACACACACACTTATAGGGCCTGCATATATATTTTTTTTTTCAGGGCTGCTTTGCATTCCCAGTCCGGCCCTGGTTGTTAGTATGTATGGAATGCTCCTTTAATGAGAGCCACTTTAGTTATTAGCTGCTGGTTGGTAAAACACAATGACAAAATTGGAAAAAAGCCCCCACCATGAATGTAGCGGTCATGGTTCTGATCAGGTCAGACAAGAGACTTATGCCGGGGGTTCTTCTTTCTCCCCCTCCCCCCTCTTCTTCTTACTCCTCCTACCCCCTCTTCTTCTTACTCCCCCTCCCCACTCTTCTTCTTACTCCCCCTCCCCACTCTTCTTCTTACTCCCCATCCCCCTCTTCTTCTTACTCCATCCCCTCTTCTTCTTACTCCCTCCACTCTTCTTCTTACTCCTCCTCCTTCTTCTTACTCCTCCCTCTCTTCTTCTTCTTACTCTCTCTCTTCCCTCTTCTTCTTACTTCCCCTCCCCCCTTCTTTTTACTCCCCTCCCCCCTTCTGTAACGGCACCCCCAGGCATAAAAGGGGTTAAAAGCCGTTTAGTAGATCTTCCCTTCCAGAGACACAGGCACAGCTACTGTAGACACAAATACACCGAACCGGAGAAGCATATGAATGCTCTCAAACATACAAATGCTGTAGACAGCCGAATAGGAAACACCATATGAATAGGTTTACACTCCTAGCAGTCAAACTGGAACAGCATACAATAAATCCCCCCAAAAATGAGACAAGGCTCCGTTTTGAGGGTCAAGCAGGAACAGACAGAGCTGTGGGTTTATTGTTCTTATATACACATTAGTACCACCCACAGGGTTTTGGAAAACAACCAATAAACACATACAATACACTCAGACACTCCCACACAAAATCCTCCCCTCTGCCTGTGATATAATTACCTTACACAATGGGTAATGTAATTATCACCGGCAGAGAAATACAGTTTTTCCACATTATTCATAACTTTAAAAGTATGCATCACATTCACATAAAATTTTTAAGAATCAGCATTCTCCAAATACGAACATGTGTCAAAATCATCCACATTGGTCCATTGGTTCAAAAGATAGATCGAAGTCCTTTGTGACCAAAGGAAGCATGGCTTTTCTGCCCAAAACCAGTTCCACAGAGTCTTCTATCCTGGAGATAATTGGGAAGTAATCAAATTATCTCCAAGGACAGAGGCAAAACTCCATTAAGCACATGGCAGTAAAAAGGCAGTAAAATACAATAAAATACACAAGGTTACATTATTACATAAAATACAGATATGCAACATATCCCCAGATAGCTTAGGTCTGAGTGCACATTATTACTGATTGGCTCTCAGACCACACACATACAGTTCAATTGCCATGGAGCCAAAGTCTTTTATTACACAAATAGGCTCCATGGCATAGCTATCTGGGTTAAATGAGTTCATTCAGTAAATCCGAGAATCTACCGAACGCCAGAGCAGAAATACATGAATAGACCTTTCTGCATAGGAAAATAAAGTATTTAAATGCCGGTCCATAGTCAAAAGGCAGCAGGCAGGCAACCAGGCTCCTCCAATGCACAGTGGCAAGATTGGTCTCGTCACACCTTCTTTTTACTCCCCTCCCCCCTTCTTTTTACTCTCCTCTCCCCCCTTCTTCTTCTTACTCCCACCTCATCCCTTCTTACTCCCCCTCCTCCCCTTCTTCTTACTCCCCCCTTCTTCTTCTTACTCCCCCTGCCCTTCTTTTTCCCTCCCCCTCCCATTCTTTCTTCTTACTCCCCCTCCCCTTCTTTCTTCTTACTCCCCCTGCCTTCTTTTTACTCCCCCTCCCTTCTTCTTAATCTCCCCTCCCTCCCTGTGTTCTTCTGACCTCCCCTTCCTGTAGTGTGGCCGAGCTCCTCTCCGGTACAGGAGTTTGTTTCTTGTACCCGCCCGGACTGATAGGACTGAGTGTGCATTTCCTATCAGTCTGGCCGGATACAGGAAACGGTTGTTCCTGTACCGCGGACCTGTGAGGAGCTCGGCTACGCTACAGGAAGGGGAGGTGAGGAGAGAGGCAGTGCTGCAGCTGCCTGAGGCTCTTTACAGAGCGCTCAGGCGGCTGCAGCATTTAAAGGGCTGGCGATGGGGGCGCAGGGCGCCCCCTACTATATGGCGCCACCTCTATTGTCTTCCACCTCTATTGTCTTCCACCTCTATTGTCCAAATCCTCCAGGTGAGTGCACAGCTCCACAGTGTGCCTGTCTGTTGATCCACAGTAGGACAATGTGGGTAAGGGTCTGCAGTCTCAAGGGCTGATATGCGGCTTTCCAGGGAGGTAAACATTGAGTTGAGATCCTGGTGCATGGTAGACTTGTTTAACCCAGTCTAGGAGAAGATGCAAGTCAACATTTTTAGGCAGGGAGGCAAAGAGAGCCTACCTGTCTGGGTTGGAATAGTCTGGAGTTGATAGTGGTAAGGCTTCCAAGGTGTATGCATCTGGCTAAAAGATCCTGTCGTATACTTAATGTAGGGGTTAGTTTTTCTATAATATTTTTACATATACTTCATTTAAAAAATAAATAAATATTTTCTCATCTATTTCATAGATAGAGTTGCAGACTGTATCATTGAGTGCTGTGTATTTTGAAATGCTGCAGATGACCGCATCATATTGACATTTATAAAATGTCATGTAGATCATGTGTCTGAATGTTCCATAACTATTTTAATGTCAAACACCCTTTGTACTGTATCTAAACTACTCCTTTGTTATTTATAATCACGGCTATACTGAAAAGGAAAGAACATCTCCACTAGTTGCTGTTGCTATTTCTAGAAAGGGCTATTAACTATGTACTTGTTTTGCTTTCTTTCTTTGTACATTACACAATGATATTCAAATCAAAACATGTGCAGTGCAACTAAACAGTGCACAGTTAGTAGATGAAACAGTATTGTTTTTCTTTCCAAATGTAATACATGTTTTAAGTTTCAAAATCAGTGTTATTATATTATCTATCTTTCATCCAAATATGATTTTCTCTTAATAAAAACTTAAAAAAAAAAAAAAATGTCAATCTTTCTTTTATTAAGCAAAACTGTGAAAACAATTGATGTAAAAAATGCCGTTGGTAAATACACTCCTGATTAAACTAGCTCATTTAAAAAAAAATGTTTTATATTAAACATGCTAGACCAGGGGTTCTCAACGTTAGTCCTCAGGACCCCCTACCAGTCCAGGGTTTAGGGATTACCTGGGTGTGTCTAAGGTGTTTAGAAAAAAAAACACCTTAGAGTCTAAGGTGTTTTTTTCCCCTTTTTCTAAACACCTGAGACACACCCAGGTAATCCCTAAACCCTGGACTGGTAGGGGGTCCTGAGGACTGGGTTGAAAACCCCTGTGCTAGACTAACACATTTACACATGAGGTAAAACAGTACTATGGAGCAGGATAAACATACTAGATATGTAGATATGCGATATAGACAGAAAAGGTTACGTATAAAGTTCAGACTATTCTAACATGAGTAAGGTAGTAGGCTTAAGATATAATATAATATCATGCTTAGTCTGTGGATGAGTAGATAGTCTTCAGGTGAATAGCTATTGACAAGTTAGAGTTATAAAATGGTAATATAAAGACAGGTAATGCATCCTCACAATAATACATTACTAGACATATGACTCTATAAACTAAATACTAACTGACAGTGCGAATAGGGCAATGCTGTAGAAATAAAGCATAATGGTTAAAACTATGCTCAACCATTTTAATAAGCGTCAATGTCCAGGTTCAGCCTTTACTTTTAATCCTGGTCTAACAGGGATCTGACTCTGCTTTCAAATAATCAATCCTGGATGGCTCCTCCATTTCCTCCAGGCCACTCACAGAAATCTCCCCCAACACGAATGTTGGAACAGCCAACTGCAGCCTTTGTCGGGACTCAATCTGGGCCCAAAAGGCTGCACAGAGTATGTCGAAGGCTGCATTAAAATTGGATTCCCGTAGAGTATGAAGGCAGTGAGAGCTTTTGTGCCTCTTGATGGTGAAAGGCTTTCTCTGTTGGGGACTGGGATACCCCCACCAGCCCAAATTGGGGAGGAGGGGTAACAGCCTAAAAGGTCAGAAATGCTGTAGCAATTTAGACTGGGAAATTGGCCATTTCTTCCCTTCATGGATCACCCTCAGGCCTCAGCATCTAAGCCGAGAATTTATTTCAGGTTGCAGGTGGTAAACTCCCTCAAAATTATGCTTCTGCTTACAGGAGCAGGTAAGTAATCAATTAATTTGCTTCTGAGGAAAAAATATTTGTGTGTAACAAATAATATTAAAAAATATATATTTTCAGAGGATGTGATTCTCCTGCCCAAAGTAAATGCTGATTTAAAAAATAAAAGCAATGCTTCTATTTGGTCAGTAAGATTTTATTATAACTTACATATGTTAGTAATATAAATTTGATCAATAATATGCCATTAGAATTTCTATTTATATCAGTAATGGGAAGCATTTTTAAACCTAAATGTCAAACATTCTGCAGAAATGAAGAAATCAACAAGTGCCAAACCTAGTTTTTGTTGTCCCTTGTCTCATCTCCTCTGCTTCTGTTACTTTACTGTTCACCCATTCAATAAAGTTCACTCTTCTCTATATTTGTTTTCCTCCTTTCCCTCTTGTATTTAAAGGGTCATTATAGGCACTCAGACCTGAGATACAGCGTGTTAAGGTTTAATGAGTTGTGGCTATACTCGGTCTGGCAAAGAGTTCCACCATACAGTGGACTCAAAAAAGGTGTCCCTCTCAAGCCCCAGACATCCTCTGATACCTCCTTGCCTCCCTGACCTCCCTTCTAAATAGCACTATATTTGGTGGTCAGGGGACTGAGTCCTATCGTTTAGAGAATGACTGAACCATGGCACAGTCCTGATCTGAGGAACAGTTCCAGAGTGGACTACCTTCTCTCCCTGCTCTTCAATCTGTCACTAGGGAGGGAGGCTGGCAACCTCTTCTCCCTGGGTTGAGATATGCCGCTGAGGAGGCCAATCTGCCACTGGGGATGGAAGCCAACTGCCTCCTCTCTCTGGAACCCCATCTGCTGCTGAAAAAGGAGGCTGACTACCTCCATTCCTTGGGGCCAAATCATACTCTCACACAATATATATCCCTGGAAAGCTTGTCACGAAGTGCTCTTACTCTCCATATAGCTCCTTGATTAGAGAATCTGCATCCGAGATACAGAGTGTTACTGGTTTATCCTCAGCACAGTCCCAAACCGCGAAACAGTTCCAGGGTATCTCTCGGTCATGCGCTCAAGGTGTAAAATGAGTCCAGGTAATCCTGAGAGGTGTCTAGTCCACCTCTAAAGCACAGCAATCGTCAATCTGCCACAGTGACAACATCCCATTTTAGGGCTTCTTGGCACCAGGCCCATAGTCTGTGGGTAGGAGGCTGGCCTTCAAGTTTCTTTAAAAGGCGATGGCACAGGAGTTTCCATAATAACTGTCCTGACTAGATTTATATACTAAGCTCTCCTGGGCAAATGTACGGCAAAATATACAAGAAACACAGAAATTTTTTTCTTAAAACAAAGCATTGTATCATCTAGTTACTGTGATATGTATATATATATATATATATATATATATATATACACACACAAACTGATAAAACCACAACATTAAAACTTCTGACAGGTAAACTGAATAATATTGATTAAATCTTTACAATGTCACCTGTCAAGGAGTGTGGTATATTAGGCAGCAAGTCAACAGTCACTTATTAAATTGCATTAGTTGGAAGCAGGAAAAATGGGTAAGTGAAAAGATCTGAGTGACTATGACAACGGCCAAATAGTGATGGCTAGACAACTGGGTCAGAGCATCTTCAAAACGGCAAGTCTTGTGGGGTATTACTGGTTTACAGTTGTTAATACTTACAAAAAGTGGTAAGAGGAAGGACAACCGATTAACTAGAGTCAGGGTCATGGTGCCCAAGGTTGACTGATGCACATCGGGTGCAAAGGCTAGCCCATCTGGTCCAATCACAGAAAAGAAATACTGTAGCTGAAACTGCAGAAAAACTTTATGCTGGTCATGACAGAAAGGTGTCAGAACCCACAGTACATTGTAGTTTGCTGCGTACAGGACTGTGTAGCCCATGATAACCCCTGTACACCAGCAACAGCGCAGATGCAGATGAATAAAAAGGTTTAATACTGTCACTTTAAGAATATTTGATTTTTGGATTTTAGGTATTTTGAATTTAACAATCTTCTGAAGCAATACAAATTGTAAATATTATTCCATAAAGCAAATGCAGTTCCTTATTAGGATGGATTAACTCAGTCCTATGACTTCAGTAGAAACATTAAAGTAAGCAGGTCCTGATTAGGATAGTTTAACACAGTCCTATGACTTCAATAGAAACATTAAAGTGAACATACATCAGCTGTGCAGGTTATTTCCAGTAAAGCAATTTGTATAAGGAATATATATATATATATAAACACAGGGGCAGACTTAACTGTTCCCTAGAATACCTCCAAATAACGGAAATTAGAAACTAAATGGTAATCCCAGAAAATGTAAGAACCTTGATTGATGGCGGAAGCTGGTTATAGGTGAAAGTCCTTTCCAGAATCGTGAAGATTGTAGTTCCCTGAAAGTAATTTTGGAATTAGAGGTAAGTGTAGTCAAAGTTCGTTCCGTGTTCTGGGGGCTTGAGAAGGCAGCAAGGTCAGTAAGTGATTTCAAAGGTTTGCTACACAGCTAGAGAAAGAAGAAGCTCAGACAGCACTTAGCAATAGTGATGTCGCGAACATAAAATTTTCGGTTCGCGAACGGCGAACGTGAACTTCCGCAAATGTTCGCGAACGGGCGAACCGCCATAGACTTCAATAGGCAGGCGAATTTTAAAACCCACAGGGACTCTTTCTGGCCACAATAGTGATGGAAAAGTTGTTTCAAGGGGACTAACACCTGGACTGTGGCATGCCGGAGGGGGATCCATGGCAAAACTCCCATGGAAAATGTTGATGCAGAGTCTGGTTTTAATCCATAAAGGGCATAAATCACCTAACATTCCTAAATTGTTTGGAATAACGTGCTTTAAAACATCAGGTATGATGTTGTATCGATCAGGTAGTGTAAGGGTTACACCCGCTTCACAGTGACAGATCAAACTCCCCGTTTAACGCACCACAAACAACTGCAAACAGTCCATTTGCACAACCGCAAACTCCCCATTTGCACAAAGTTGGATACCAAGCTAACCATGTCCCGTTCCTTGTCCTCACTGATGTAATTGAAGGTCTCTTCCTCCACCCAGCCACGTACAACACCAAGGGTCCCCAAAAGGTGACAACAAGCCCCCTGGGATGCCTGCTGTGTTTGGTCTTCCACCTCCTCAAAGCCACCTTCCTCCTCTGACTCCTCTTCTTCAGACTCCTCTCTCTGCGTTATTATAAGTAG